CTTTGCTGCAGCCCAGCACTTCCAAGTCAGGGCAGTATTGCCAAAGCCTGGGGCAGCAGCCTAGGGAAGCTGTGCAATCACAGGGCTCACTGATGGCACGTGAGTCCAGTGCTGCAATTCTCGGGAACACAAGATGCTGTCATATATTTTCTAATTACAACAAGTTCTCTTCTCTCTGCTCCCAAGAGGGAAGGCAGCTTATAGTTAGACAAACACAAGTTTGAATCCTGTTCCAGTGATGTGACTCTGGCCATGTTACTTAAACCCTCTGGGCCTCAGTTTACTCATCTGGTTCATTATAATTAAACCTTTTTCATAGGGTTCTTTTGAAGACTAAATGAGATAACATCTATAAAGCACTTGGCAGAGTGCCTGACATTCATTAGGAGCTCAAATAACAATAAAACCAGCAAGGATATTAGGGTTTTAATAAATTATCAGACATAAAAAGACATTTTTGAAGCCTCGATGCCAGTCACATGTCTCAAGACTGTTATGCTGGGTAAGGACACCCACATACTCTGAGTTAGATAATAGTGGTTGTAACAGAAGCGGCCTGATGAATCAGCTTTACTAATTTGGGCTAAATTCTCGGGCTGCATTTGGAAGAGCAGCCCATGACTTAGGTGCTGTTGGCTTCAGTGTCAGATGTTGTTTGGCCTACTGAGAGGAGGGATTGGACATCAGAGGCTGTGTTGATGAGATGGCCCTTGAGCAAAGCTTTGATCATGAAGACAGACTCCCCCATGTAACTGGAACCAGGGGCAGGCAGTATGTCTGGTCGAAGGAGCATGAGTGTGGAGTTAACACCGATCCCAGGTCCTTCACACAAGTGAGGCACTGGGCAAGTTAGTCATCTCTCTACAACTCAGGTCCCTCATCTATAAAAAAAAAATACAACTTGATTTTTAGAGTGGTTTTAAGGATAAAATGATACAATGCAATGTATGTAAACACCTGTTATATGGTAGGTGCTTCATAAATATGACAATTATAATCATATAAGCAAAGTGCTGTCATGCCCAAGTGTGAAAAGTATTAGTGGTAATTAACATTGTTTTGTGACAAAACAATCCTAAGATCAAATTAGTTTCTTTCTTATAGAGTGGAAAGATATAGACAGCAGGTTTGATTTGAGGCTTGGCAAATGAACGAAGTTCATTCTGGGAAATGGTTTTATGGTTTGGATCAAGTCCCTCCCCAGGTGACAGGTGTATTATTGCCCTGAAAATACTTGATCTGGGGGATAATGGGGGGCAGACCTCTTTAGCCAGGGGAGGATCAATGATTAGCCATCCAGTGAGGCGGGGCCCTGAATGGCTGTGAGGATGACAACGAAACAGCTCCAAGGAAGGCGTAGGCAGCCGCAGTGACTGTGCATGGCCTTGCAGGCAGTCATGGGACCTAAAACCCAGAGAGCAGAAGGACTCGTCAGGCTGGGGAAAGGACGCTGCAGGTCAAGTGGAGGGGGGAGAGCCAGGCTAGGGAGGAATGGTCGCAAGAGAGGGTGTGGCATCCTGACTCCAGTTGCTTCTGCAGCAGAACAATTTTCTGGGAGACGAACCCGAGAGGTTATGGGTGCAGAATCCAAATGACATGGAGAGATGTTTTTTCACATAGAAAAACCTCCCTTCAGCAGGGAACTCATATCATGTGCCAGAGAACAGACACGAATGGAACTTGAAAAACAAGGGAGTGGGAGTCAATGTCACTGTAGCTATGCCCACCAGCAACTCATTGAAAATAAGGCCGGCAGAGTGGCTCAGTTGGTTAAGAGCTCGCTCAAGAGTGCCAGCTCTGAGCAACAATAGTTCAATGCCTGGCCCAAGCTGAGCTGCCAACAGGTGGCAGGATGGCTCCGCTAAAAAAAAAAAGAAAAGAAAATAGAGTACTCCTCTAAGTGTAGGAAGTTAATGATGTCTTATCACCATCTTGGAAACCCAGCCTGGGAGAGGGGAGGGACTGGGGATGGGTGCCAGACATTAATCAAAAGGGTAATGGTGTTTGAGGGTGTTTAAGTTGGCCCCTTGTTGCCCATCAAGTGGTGTGTATCACAGGAGAAATTCCCAAGTACGTTCCCACCTCTACTTCTGTAGAAAACAAAAGCCTATGGCTGCATCTGGTGCTTGTTTTTCTGGTGCAGTGGTTCTCAAATGGGGCCGATTTTGTCCTCTTAGGACATTTGGCATTGTTTAGAGACATATTTTGTTGTCAGTTTTTTTTTGGGGGGGTGGTGGCATTCTACTGGCATCTGGTAGGTAGAGGTCAGGGATATTGAAACACCCTACAGTGCACAGGGCACCCCCTCTCCCACAACAAAGAAGTATCCAGCCCCAAACACCAGCAGTGCCAAGCTTGAGAAAGCCTGGTTTCATGCCATGTTGAAGGCTCTGTCGATGGAGGGGCTATCATCTCACTGTAGGGTAGAATGGGAAGTGTCACGGTTAGTCTATAATCCCTTGCTGGTGGCCATACACAGAAGAGAGAGTGAGAAGGCAAAAAACTTGGGGGTGGGAGTGAGCCCAAAGGGAACCACAGACTAACCTCCCACGGTAGATGACAGGATAAAGGCAAGAGTTTTCCATTCCAAGTCAACTCTTGCGTATGTAAAAACTGCTTTCCTTAAGCACATAATCATGTTTATTTCCCCAAGGAACTCTGGAGGCAGAGGAGACCTGCTTAAATTATGGGGATGATGGCTGCACACAGGGCTTTTATAGGGTTAGAAATTTTTGCTGCCTCCTTTGAAGGAGCCTCAGGAGGAAGGGAAGAGCAGACTCCTTTCCGACAGCGCAGAAGATGTGGGCAGATGGGGCGAGGTAGGAATGGAAGGCAGGACGCGTGAAGATCGCCCAGCAGCTCAGGATCTGAGCAGAGACATGAACTCTAGGGGACAGCTTCAAATCCCCCACCCGTCTCCCTATCCTGGTAAGCAGAGGGAAGGGTGCCGCGTCCCACGCAGCACGGGCAGTGGGGAGTCAGAGGGGCGGCAAAGGGTTAAAGAAACACAAGAGACAAATATAGAGTTAAGGCGCGGCCAGGGGACTGCAGTTCTCTCTCTGGAACTGAGTCCCCAATCAAGCCAACGCATAGCTTTTATTAAAAAAGTTCAGAGAAACTTTCTTTCTAAAGCCCGTGTGATAAGTGCCTTAAGGCCAGTTTCCATCAACCAGCCCCATTGTATTCGGACACATGCTGTGCCTTCGTACTCCCACACACACAGCCCCCAGGATAGTGCAGCTGTTGCTGCGGCCATGAAAAAAGGGAGATAACCGACATCATTCCGGTGGGTCCCAGCGTTCCGGGACACTCCCTTGAGGAAGCTTTACCGGGTCTGTTTTCCGAGACACTCCCTCGTGACCTTGTTAGGTCAGGGGCTGGTGTGTGTGTGTGTGGGGGGGCGGGCGGCGGAGGATGAAGCTGTAAGGCAACAGAAGGGAATCCAGGAAGTGGGCCATTCACACCCTCCTGCCTTACTGTGAACACACACACATACACACTCACACAGTCCTTTGGAAGATACTGTGGTTTGCATCAAGAAACAGAATGGGCCATGCTGTTGGGGGAGGGGCACGTGGGCAGGGTAGAGAAAATTTTGATGAAGAGGAAGGAATGTGAGGGTTTCAGTGCATCCTCTGTGTGCTATTGGGTCCTAGGGAAAGTTATGACACATTTTTGCATTGAAAAACAGAAAAACACGTCATGACTTTCCCGACGACCCAATATTTCTCACTTCTCTGTTGCAGCCTGAATGTCTGGAATTGTGGGTTCTTCTCTTTGAGATATCCTCACCTGGGTAGACTGGGTGGGGACCAAGGGACTAGAAGGAAGGGACTGATTACTCAGAATGGACACACAGAGGAAGGGTGGGGAGGGGAATGCATCTTACAGCCTTTCTATTGCTCCTTGATTGGCAAGACTCTGGCTAATACACCTTTTGTGTTAAGAGTTGGATGGCGGTTGAGTTGGGTGGACAGCAGTGGAAGAGAGAAAGATGTAGTGAGGAGCGGGTGGCTCTGGTCTAGGTTACAAAGAATGGGGCCTACAGGGGGACCTTTGCTTCCTCCATGTTTCCACGGCATCTGGAATGCATGTCTGTCACCATGATATGTGGTTGGACTTTGTGCCCGTCTTGTCCAGGAGGCTGTGAATCATGTTTCATTCAACAGGGTACCCTATGTATCTAACAAAGCCTGGTACGCACAGGCATTCAGCACATGCTTCATGATGAATTTTGATCTTATCCTGTGTGGCTTGCCACAGAAGAGAGGACAAGAATTCAGGCAGAAGTTATAGCAAAAAGTCTATTTGGCTTGTCTATCCCATTTATCCCATCCATCAAAGCCAATGGGTGGTAGTGGTGCTGGCAGAATGAGATCCAGCGAAGTGAAGGTCATGTCTGAGAAATATGGCCAAGATCTGTGGCCCTGAATCTCTTCATGTGACCATCAAACATTCTCTCTGCATAACCACCCAGACTAGGTCAGTTCCAGTATTCCTTATTCTGAGCTAGTGGAGCAGCAGCATATGCTAAAAGTCACACGGTGAGCACCCTGAGGCTAGTGAGAGGCACGCAGCCCTTGGGAGACGATGATGGTGGTTACCTGTAAGCATAACATCCAGGCCTTCTCTGTCCTGAGAGGGCTAAGGGGATGACACACATGGGGCATACGGGCCTACATGAAGGTGCTGCGTCCACACAGGCTCTCCAGGCCTGTGAGCATCAGAGACCCTGGGCTCCTAGAGTTGTGTTCTTTTAACTGACCAGCTCTCCAGAAAATACATCAAATGTCGTCAGAGAACAGATACACAGTGTTTCAGCATCTTTAAGAGGCTGAAGATGTATGTTATTGTCCTGACCCACCTTGAGCCTCTTGGAGCTTTAGCCACCTCAAGGCATATAGGAAAGTGCCTTTCCTATATTACAAGGCTACTGTGAGGCTCAAGTGTGTTGACATGTGGGAATGCTTTGTAAACTGTAAAGTGCTATACAACATGAGCTGGTTCTTGTAAGTTATTTATTCAAGGAAGCAGCAGAGGGACCGTTCCTTCAATCAGGATCTGCCTGCAGGGAAGGGCAACTTCAATTTCTTGAGCCAGCTGGGAGCTGGAGGGCTTTAGTCCACATCCATGTCTCTGGCCCCATCTGGTCAGAGCAGTGGGGGCCTGGCAGAAGGGTGCTGAGACCCCTTATTTAGTTCGCTGGTAGAACTGGAAGACTGCTTTCTCCTGCTCGTAAGTCTCGATTGAGCCGGGTCGAAGGCGCCGGATTTCAGCGATGGCATCTCCTGCAGCCAGGCCCCACTCCTTCACCAAGTAACAGGCCAGCATGGTGCCAGTGCGGCCAAAGCCCAGGGCACAGTGCACTCCCACGGCCTGTCAAAGGGCAGCTTAATGGGATGGAGCCTGACACCCGTCCAACACTCTCCTGCCCCTGGCTTGAGTTGGTCTCCTCCCTACAGCTGCTTCTTCTGGGTCAGGCCCAGGCCTCTGCACACATCTCAGGCTCTCAGAGACAAGAAGTGACACCAAAGTCAGGGAGGGCTGTCTTGTATCTGGTGGCTTGGAGGCCAACAATCACCAGCAAAGTGGCTGGTTCAAGAGCTGGGCTCCTGGCCTGCCTCCCTACAACCATCTACTTGCACCATCTAGTGTAGCAGCCGCTGGCTACGTGCAGCTACTGAGTACCTGGAATGCTGCTAGTCCAAATGGAGATGTGATGTAAAATGCAACCAGGTTGTGAAGATATAGTCCAAAAAACAATGAAAATATCTAAGGATTTGTTTTACACTGATTATACGTTGCAATGATAATATTTTTTAATTACGGGTTTAATTATATTATCAAAATGAATTTCTCCTGCTCTTTTACTTTTTAAAATGTGGCTGCTAGAAACTTTGGCTCCATGCTATTTGGACAGAGCACTGCTGTGGAGACTGCTGAGTAGCCTCTGACTTTGACCCCCATCTCTCCCAAGGCTGTTCACGCTTTATCCTCAACTCTCCACAGGAGCTGGTTCGTAGTTTCCTCTCCACAAGCCCAGTTTACACCGCTGGATCCTCTTTACTCCTCCCACTTACCACCACGCTCCCCACTCCGGCTTTACGTCCTGGTTGCACCTGTTGTCTCCCGGACCCACGGTTTCCCCCCAATCTCTCTCTCAGCCCAGTACGTATTCCCGGCCTTGACTTTCCAGCTCCGCCCGTTTCCCCACTGACCCCTCCCTCTCCAGACCGCTCCCTCCTTGCGCTGACCCCGCTCGCTGACCTCGCCCCGGGCGTTGGCCTCGTCCACGATCTGCACGAAGCGGTCGATCTGCTCCGGGGCGGGCGGGCAGAAGTCTGGGATGCTCAGTCTGTGGAGGATGAGGCCGGGGCAGCTGTCGCTGTGCGGGGGCCCGCGCTCCGTCAGGGACACCAGGTGCCGTACGCCCAGGTCCAGCAGGAACTGGTAGTGGGAGGGGAGCCGGGGCAGCGCCAGCCCAGCCAACCGGCCAGGGAGCACCCACGAGAAATTGGGGGGCTGCATGTCCATGGCTGGGGGAAGACCCAGGAACAGCGAGTTACCTGGGCAAGGCAGCCAGTCGCGCTCTCGCCACTCGTCCGCCGGGGCTGGGTAACTTCCACCCACCTAGCACTGCAGTCTCCGGGACCGCGCAGTCTCGGACCGCGTACAGGGCTACGCCCCTCTCTGCCGCGAGGATTGGCCCAGCGGCCTGAGGGGCGGGGTTAGAACAGCGGGCTCTGACTGACCAAAAGAAGCACCAATCCGATCCCGGCCCACCTGGCTACTCGTTGATTGGACGGCAGCGGTGCGCACGGTGATTGGAGCAACGCTGACAGCCAAGAAGGAAAACCTACAACAAACTTAAGAATTGTTTTCTGTGGATGACTGCTCTCTGGCGGTCGGTGGGAGTTATTGCATCACTGGCCAACTGCCCCTGCCGCCCAAGCGCTTGGCCTCCTTTTAGTTTCTTTATAGTGGATGCCCAAGGTGTTAAGAAATGGCAAATCTACTTCTGCCTTGGGGGAAGAATCTCCTTTACAATGTGACTAGTCACTATCAGTGATTTCTGAAATCGTCCAGCCCAGTAAGAGGGAATCACTACTGTACAGGGGACTATTCTGATTTTTCCATTGCTGGAATTATTAAAAATACTGGGGCTATATCATCTGGTACCCTGAAATTAACAACAACAAAAAAATTGAGTATTTACTGTATGCCAAATACTATTCTAAGCACTTTACATGTAGTAACTCATTTAATTGACACAATAATCTTATGAGGCAGGTAATCTAATTAACTCTATTTTACAGTGAAAAAATTGAGGCTTTGGAAAGGTTCAGGAACTTGACTGAGGATGACTGATGGCCTGGGGATTTCAAACCAAGCAGCCTGTCTCCACTGTCCTGAACAACACAGTATTGTTTCCTAAAGTTAAATGTAAGGTTAGTACCTTTTCACATAGCCATCCGCATGCCCCCAAATATCATGTAGGTTAAAAGTTGCAGGATTTCTTAATTTATATTTCATGATTTCCAAGCTCTCTGAGTCATCCTCCCCTAGGGGAGGCAAGAGTTTATCAGTGTTGTTCACAGAAAGTGAGGACCTAGATCTGAACACAGTGTCTCCACTGTGATCTGACTGGCTCATATCCTTATTTGAACAATGTGCTTCTAATGATGCAGACTAATTATAATTATGAAAACAGTTAACCCTTATTGAATTTGCTTATGTACCAGGCCCTATGCCAAGTGCTTTCTGGAAGAACCATATGTGGAAAATATTTTCGTATCACTTTTGTACATGAGTAATCTGAGGCTTAGAAAATTTGGTTAATTTGGCCAAGGACACACAACTAGTAAGTAGCACTTAGCCATGAAGATGTGCTATCATCCCTCTCCCCCCACCTATCCCTGACACACACATTTAAAGCTCTGGTTTCAGCAAAATGAAAAAGAATTTCTCTTTCCTCAAAGGTCAAAGCCTGCTCTGACCCTGTGGAAAACCCAGTTACCACTTACCCAGACAATGCTGAAGCATTGCCTCCACCGGCTCTCCCTGGGTTCCAGGAACTGCCAAATCTAACCTTTCCTCCCCTTTTGTGCAATCACAGCCCTGATTAAGCCCTTTGCTATTGCACACTCATCTCCCACAAAACTACCTGTAAATCTGTCTAGCCCATCCCAATTCATTCATTTCCGCCCTTCCCTGCTGTGCCTCTCAGCCACCAGTAAACCTACCCCACCCCACCCCTCGGTTTCTGGTTGTACTGCCTCTGCAGACAAGAATCCAGTACTTGCTTCTTTCAGGTTGAACTTCTCTCAATCTCTTTGCTTTGCTCTCTTTTCTTTGCTCCCTCCACTCACCAGGGGAAAACTTCCCACATCATTCCTCCACCCTATACCCCTGCCTTCTCTCTTTGAGAACCAGCTCAAATCCCATCTTCTACAGAGGAAAGACATTTCTGGGGGAGACAGAGATTTTTTTCTCCCCTGAGCTCCCCCTCCCCTAACAGTGATTCTCCCCCACTGGTGGGTCTTTGCAGGGATAGAAGTGCATTCTTTTACCTACCTGGGCCTCCTTCTGGAAAGGCCAGTTGGCTCCCTTTGTAGGCATTCCTTCCTCTTCTCTACTGCTCTGTCCCTCCCTTCCAATAGAACCCTGGGTGAAAGGGCTCAGGGTCCCTGCTTTGGGCTGTGTCCCATTGTCAAGAGTGCTATTTAATTTTCAGTCTTGGACCCAGGGAGCCTCAAACTAAAAGGAAAAGTCCTTTCTTGTGGTTTCCTGTCTAGGAACCCTGCAACTTAACAGTGTCAGCACTCTGCGTGAGCCCCTTCCCCCTTTGCAAAAGTGACCTTTCTTTCCTTTCTCCTCTGGAAAGTGTTACCTGACTCTCAGGAAGATTTTGGCTTTTTCCGTACTCCCATTTCACCTTATATAAATAGGTATTCTCAGTGTGGCAGTTATGTTATTGGATTGGGGTTATCTATTTGTATAGGAGCATCATTCCATCTTTGAATTCCATATATTTAATATGGAGCCTGATACACAGTGCTCAAAAATGTTAAATGAACCAATGAGTGAAAAAATAAAAAATAAATACAATGCATATGTATATGTATTTGTTTATTACTCACCCCCTGCCCCCTCCTCTTTGGGAACCATCAGCTTGTTCTCTATCTCTATGGGTCTGTGTGTCACTTTTTTTTTTTTAAGATTTTTATTGTGGAATTGGGGAGGAGAACTGTGTTGGGGAGAACTGTATTGGGGAATTGGGGAAGGGGAACATTGTGTTTTTCCAGGACCCATCAGCTCCAAGTCAAGTTGTCCTTCAATCTTAGTTGTGGAGGGCGCAAGCTCAGCTCCAAGTCCAGTGGTCGCTTTCAATCTAGTGNTTTATTAAGACCACAGAAAGATTTACATGGACTAGCTGGAAAGAGCTTCTAAGAATTTTAAGAGCATTTCTTTCTAGAGCACTTTGACATGCTGATCAAAGTAGAGGCCTATTGCAAAAAACCCCCCTGCTGGTATAGCTTTTATCTAATGAAATGGACTATACTCTGGTATGTAGAAAGCCCACAGAGTTTATAAGGGAATTGGATCAGGATACGCTAACTGGTGCACAGCAGTTCAAAATAAAAAAATAAAATAAAAGGAAGCAGAAAGCAAGATGAGAAAATCACTCAGTTGCAAACATGAACTGTTTCTAGTTGAAAAGAAAGACTATCTCAGAGGGCATAGCCAACTGCTTCCAGTGTCTATTCAAGAACCATTTCCTATACTCAGAGGAGGAGGCCCTGCCACATTTGCCTGGCTGGATTTCAGAATTGCTATGAACTAGTGACTGCTATGTGGCTCCCTATTCCTCTACATTTTATTTCTAAAAATTTTATATTATTATTAGTTTCAGGTGTACAAAACAAAATAATAATTAGACATTTACACCCATCACAAAGTGATAACCACACCAAGTCTACTACCATCTGACACTGTATATAGCTATTACAATACCATTGACTATATTCCCTATACTGTACTTTACATCCCATATTATAGGGGTGTACTTTACACTCATAGTTACATATATATATGATTATAGTTGACATTCAATATTACTTTGTATCAATTTCAGGTGTACAATGCAGAGTTTAGGCATTTATATAAACTATGAAGTGATCCCCCTGATAAGTTTAGTACCCATCTGGCACCCTACATAGTCTTTACAATATTGATTATATTCCCCATACTGTATTTCACATCCTTGTGACTATTTTGTGACTAGAAATTTGTACGTTCTAATCCCATCACCTTTCCCCCCATCTGCCAACCCCTCCTCCCATCTAGGAACCATCAGTTTTTTCTCTATATCTATGAGTCTATTTCTGTTTTGTTTGCTCTTTTATTCTGTTCTTTAGATTCCACAGATAAGTAAGATCATATGGTATTTGTCTTTCTCAGTCTGACTTATTTAACTTAGCATAATATCCTCTAGATCTATCCATATTGTTGCAAATGGTAAGATCTCATTTTTTTCTTTATGGCAGGGCAATACTCCATTGTATAAATGTACCACAATTCCTTTATCCAATCATCTATTGGACATTTCGGTCATTTCCATATCTTGGCTATTGTGAATAGCACTGCAGTAAACATAGGGGTGCATATATATTTTTGAGCTAGTGTTTTGGATTTCCTTGGATAAATACCCAGGAGTGGAATTGCTGGGTTATAAGGTAGTTCTATTTTTAATCTTTTGAGGAACCACACTGTTTTCCATAGTGGCTGCACCAATTTGCAATCCCACCAACAGGGCATGAGGGTTCCGTTTTCTCCATCCTCACCAACACTTGTTGTTTGTTGATTTATTGATGATAGCCGTTCTGACAAGAGTGAGCTGGTATCTCATCGTGGTTTTTATTTGCATTTCTCTGATGATTAGTGACATTGAACTTCTTTTCATGTGTCTATTGGCCATCTGTATGTCCTCTTTGGAGAAACGTGTATTCATATCCTCTGCCCATTTTATAATAGGATTGTTTTTTGTGTGTGTGTGTGTTGACTTGTATGATATATATCTATATATATACACACATATATGTAAATATATATATATATGTAAATATATATATATTTTAGATATTAATCTATTATCAGATGTATCATCAGCAAGTATCTTCTCCCATTCAGTATAATGTCCTTTTGTTTTGTTGATAGTTTCCTTTGCTGTGGAAAAAAAAAAACTTCTTAGTTTTATGTAGTTCCATGTTTACTTTTTCTTTTGTTTCCCTTGCCCAAGGGGATATAACAGTAAAAATATTACT